GTGCACCACTTCCAGCTCAGCCTCAGATTGAGAGGACTGGAGGGATTGGGAATGGGGTGCAGAGCCTTTCACCTTGAGGTCATCAGTTTTAACCTAGCCCCAGACCGATAGTGACTGACAACTGCAGCCATGTAATCAGCTGTACAAAATGAGCTGGTGAGCTCAGTACATTGCCATGTGGGGTAAGGGTGCACATTCCAAACCCCATCAACCACAGTAGGCAACAGTTTGCTCCTGTGCTGGCCAGCTCGGCAGAGAGGCTGAGAACTGAGGAGCCACAGATACTGAACTCCTCTCCTGCCTCTGGGGCGCATGGGGTAAGTACAACACCCAAAATACTTGCCAAAAAACCTTGTACAGCACCTACGAGCAATACCTAAACCAGCCATTACATACGTAGAGCTCAGACACCCCTGGGCCCCCTGCAAGAGAGTGGGACTGGGGCCAGGGAGCTGCAGCAGTCATCCTGTGTGCAGGGCTCAGAGGAGGATCCACTAGTTGGGTGGTGAGATGGGGATCGGATTACTGTGCTTTGAGCAAGAGCCAGCAGCTGAGTGGCTTTGAATATTTTGTCAGTTGGGGAGAGTCAGGCCAGAAGAGAAAGGGATGAAAAGCTGATCAAGTACACTTGTCCCTGGTGTTGGATGCTGGGATTTTCAAAGGAGTCTAAGGACTTCAAGTGCCCGACTCCAATTGATGTTCAATAGGATTTGGGCACCTTAGACTCCAGTGAAAAATCCAACCATAAGGGTTAAACTTCATTAGAAAATTGGATTTGCAGCAATCAAAGGTTGGATTCTGCTCCCAACCATGCCATGGGACAAGGTGGGGATGTGAACATGACTAATTTAACCCCAAAACAACCAACAAAATATCGTTGTTCTGCACTGGTACCACGTGCTCTGGGCTGGGCTGGGTGCTGGGATCTGGGCTCAGCCATTCAATGAAGTCTGTTCCTTGGATTCTCCATGCCTCACAAACGCTCTGCTTGCTCCATTTCTCTCTGCTCTTCAGGGTGGCAAGATCCCCATCCGCTGGACTGCTCCCGAAGCCATCCAGTACCGCAAGTTCACATCCTCCAGCGATGTCTGGAGCTATGGCATCGTCATGTGGGAAGTGATGTCATATGGCGAGAGGCCTTACTGGGACATGTCTAATCAGGATGTAAGTTCTGTTTGGGCAGGAATGTATGTATCTCTCTGCTCTCACTGATGTCCCTCCTGAAGATGGAACAGGCCCAGATATATCTCAGTGGCTGAAGCCAGTGTTTCCCAGTTCTTATCCTGGCATGTTTCTTCCTTTGCTGCAGGTAATTAATGCTATTGACCAGGACTATCGCCTGCCACCACCCCCAGACTGCCCCACTGTCTTGCACCTGCTCATGCTTGACTGCTGGCAGAAGGAGCGGGTTCAGAGGCCCAAATTCGAGCAGATAGTCAATGCTCTGGACAAGATGATCCGCAAGCCATCCGTGCTCAAAGCCACCGGCACAGGGAGCAGCAGGTGAGATGGGCCATGGGCAAAAGACAGGTGGGATGTGGCTGGGGTGCTAGGCTAGGACCATGAGCAGAAGGAGCAGGGGAGATCTGAGACTGGGATCAATTACAAATCAAAAAGGGCGTGAGTGTGTGAAGATGGAACCAGTGCCTGGTGCACTTTACAACTGGGATTGGGGTGGTCTTGTTGATGGGAGTGTGGGGGCTGAGTGTAAGCGGAGAGGAATCTCTGTAGTGGGGCAGCCAGTGTTGGGGTGAGCAGGAAATGGGAGGCCTTGCAGATGAAGGGAGGGGAATGCCTGGGATGGGTTCATCAGGGATTAGGGGTGAGCAGAGGAAGGAGGACCCAGACTGTGGAGAAAAGGAAATCTTTACTTAAATCTGGAATTGGAAATGTCTTGCATACAATATTTTCCCATCTGCATTTCCCAGCCTGTTGGAACCAGATGCAGGAGGTCAGCAGAGGGGATGTCTCTGGGGGTAGATGCAGCCAGGATTAGATGGCTCCAGAGTGGATGACGGAAACACGTCCTGCTGGCCTAGAGGGATTTTCCCATGGGTTTTAAACCTCGGCCCAGCACAGCACAGTGCAAGGCTGGGGGAGGGGAGGAGTGCGTGCTTGTGCTCAGTTTATTAAACACCAAAATAGAAAGAGACTTTTAGCCTTGGGACAGATTCAAAAGGCAGGAAAAGCAGCAAATTTCATTTATAAACCATGGTTTCTTTAGCCTTTGGCTGCTGTTTAGTCTTGTTTCCTTTGATGAAGGAAAGTGTTGTAGCCTAAAAGAGCCACTCTGTATGCATGAGGTAACTGCTAACTGGCTGTTCTAAGGGGAGCAGCTCAGAGAGGGAGAGCTAGTCCACAACTGGGGAGACACAGGGAGTGACTTCACCAGCCCCATTTCCCCAGTCTTGGAAAGCCACCCCAGCTCCAAGGGATCTTCACCCAAACAGTGAGGCAAGATCCAGCAAGTGCCAGAGGGTCTGGGGCAACTGGGGATGCTTGTCCAGAGGGATTTATGATGGAGCACGATTTGGAGGGAACTGTCACCTGTTTAGCAGGGTGATTTGGGTTGGGTGGAAAAGGGAAATGGGGAATGCTGGTAAGAGAGGGCACCAGGCAGGAGGAGGTGCTGGGGCATGGTGGGGGGATATTAGTGTCTATCTTTATTCCATGCTGTTCTGGTGTTGTCCCCCTTCCTTTCTGCTCTCCCCCAGACTGAGTATTGTAATTGGCTGGCAAGCGTTGGTCATGTGAACTTTTAGCACTTAAGTTCCCTCTTCCTTTGCAGACCATCCCAGCCCCTGCTGAGCAACTCACCCCCAGACTTCCCCTCACTCACCAGTGCCCACGAATGGCTGGATGCCATCAAGATGGGCCGCTACAAGGAGAATTTTGACCAGGCCGGATTGACTACTTTCGATGTCATCTCACGTATGACACTGGAGTAAGTAAAGTTGGGATGGAGCAGACGACACTGGGTGCTGAGGGCTTCCACCTAAGGAGAAACTTCCAGAGTGGAAGAGGAGCTAGGAGATAAGGAGTAGGGAATCTTTGGAGGATACACACAGAGGTAATGGAGGGGCAGTTCAGAGCAGGGCAACTTCCATCTAACATCCTTTTAGGCCCTTTCTACACTTGAAGTATAAGTGCGTATTTGTAACCAGTTCTGACACTCATCTGACCCCAGTAAAACATACACAAGGGAGTTATGCCCACACAGCCACTTTTTCCACACCATGACTATGTGTGGGGCATGTTTGTGCATCGGCAATCACACCACTGCACAACTGAATTTGCATCAGTGCATTCTGGGAAAACCTGGGCTGCTGCTGTCCCATAGTAGCCCAACAAGAGGACCTGCACACAGAGCAACACCAGCAGCTCATGGGACGGTGCACTCTCGAATGTCCTTCCACACTGAGAGCTGGGAAGGAGGAGGACCAGCCAGACCAGGCACACAGGCACAGTTACAAAGCAGAAATACAGTGCAGTTTGGGATATAGGAAGACAACTACCTGCCAGGCACCATCGGTACTAACCACGCTGGCTGTGGCATAAACCATTTTTAGAGCCAACCATGCCACAAATTGGGTTAAAATTGGGTAACAATGAAGACAAAGAGAGCCAGAGAAAGGAAAGTGACACAGAGAAGGAGGGTTGGGGCAGTTCAGAACAGGAGCCCTATCTTTACCATGCGCCCTTTCTCTCACAGAGATATCCAGCACATTGGGATCACCCTGGTTGGTCACCAGAAGAAGATTCTCAACAGCATCCAGCTCATGCGAGTTCACCTGAACCAGCTCGAACCAGTAGAGGTCTGAGGTTTAGACCATTTCCCCACTTCCAAACTCCAGGAAGGGAGTTCAGAGCGATTTTCACTATCCATGGGAGCAGGCAAGGAGATCCCTGGAGACTTTGTGCAGAGATAGAGTGGGCATTAAATGTCCCATGCCACCAAACCAAACCCTTGCAGTGATTTGACTGCAATGCTACAGAACTTGTGCCATTCAGATATGGGTGATTTTGTACATTGGGGAAGCACTGAGGGAAGAGGGAGCTACTGTAATGTGGGGAGGAGCTGGAAGATAGTTTGGACAGCTCAGACACACTTGCTGCCTCTTCTCTGCAGCAGATGGGTTCGAAAACATTACAAAGCTGTCATTGGACTGTGTCTGCGGCTGGGAGCCCATCAAAGCCACAGAGACATTTTTTGCCCTGAACCAGGCAAAATAAAGGCAGCAGAAAGTTGCTTTTTTTTTTCTAAAAGAAAATAGTCCATGTGTGTGAGGTTTTTTCTCAGGTAGTATGGGGCTGGGGCAGGCCTGCCACCTGCCATCCTTGGGTAATGGGGAGCTGGAGCACCAAGTGCGGACACATTATGTGACGGAAGATGGGGTGAGTGACCTAGTTACTGCAGTGCTGTCCTGTTCCAGGGAAGGGCTGGGAAGGCAACAGTGAGCTCAGAGCTCCACACTGCTTGGTAGCAGGCAACAGTGGGGCCTTGAGTCTGCACCATGGTCCCAGGGGCTGGGAGGGGAACATATTCACTGCTGCCAGGGGCTGGGAAGGGAAGGTGGTCCCTGGATCCACACTATTCCATTTCCCGAGTTGGGAGAGGTGGCTGAGCAGAGATTCCTGGATCCCCCCTTCTGGGCTCTGGCCATTTGAGGGGGAGCAGAGGATTCTGGTTCTAGGGATTAAAGAGGAAGGGAGGGGAGCAGAGCCTTTAGGTTCCTGCTGACAGATGGTTCTGGTTCCATTCCAGTCCCTGTTGGGAGGAGAGATCTAGGTTCTCATTCCACACCACTTAGCATCCAAGAGGTGCAGGGGCTTCTGATTCCCTTCCCACGCTATTATGGGCATTGGGGAAGGTGGCAGAGTGACCTCTTGGAGCAGAAGGTTCTTCCTTCGCTGACTCCAGTTGGCCCCCTAGAGCAGAGGAGAAAATGAAATAAACACAGACCAGAGAAGGGGAGTGTGTGGAGGATTTTACTGGGAGGAAATTGAACTCCAAACAGGCCATTGGATCTACATACACATTTAACACCTTTCATAATCCCCCATCAAGAAGGGACCAACCAAGATCAATCAGCCATGGCCTACAACCAGAGGAAGTAACCAGTCCCAACCAATCATATCTCTGATCTTTAAACAGGAGGGAGAGCTCCCAGGGAACACATACTCTGGGAATCACCATAAAGTGCATTATCTGGCAGTAAAACAAAGTCACTCTAGCATGACGAAGTCTACAGGAGGCAAGTTGTGTCCCCCTCTGATAGGCTAGTACTTGCCTGCTGACACATCTTCACCTTGGGTAAGGGGCAGGGCCTTTGGGAGCCAAGAGGAGACATGTGGGTGCCCCTGTATAGATCTATATTAAAGGGTGGAGCTGAGCCCAGATTTCAGGGCTTTATAAAAGCACTGGGGCATGGGTAGGCAGAAAACTTCAGGGGCCTTGTATCAATAAGTCTTCTCTTGTGCCGCTGCAGGATGAGATGTCCTGACCCATCCATGCCCCTCTGCTAGCCCCTTGCAGTACAGCCTACCATTCTATAGCAAACCACTCCCCAACACCCAGGCCCGGGGGTGGAGTTTGAAAGGCTGGGCTGTTGCAGACATTAACCCTGCATGGACTGAAGTCCCATGGTCAGCTGAGAATGGGGCAGGAGTCCATTTCTTTAAAGGTAATAAACAGACTGAAAGCTGGACCCAGAAAGCGACTGGGGAAGAATTCTTTTAAAGGGAGAGGTCTACATTACTCCAAGTAAAATTCACAGTTCAGACCTTTCAATGCACTGAAGTAGTTAAATATATTAATTTATCTTTAACAGAGGGAGAGAGAAAAAAACACGGATTGAAATGTAAATAGAACTAAATACAAAAATAATCCAGGGGCTCTTTGAGCTGGGGGTGGGGGGGGAAGAGGAGGGGACAAGAAATTCACAGCAGCACAAAGACAGTGTGAGGATAAAAAAGCATCAGCACTGGAACCAGTCAGCAAGCCCATGCCTAGAAAATCTCTCTGTTGCTTGCCAAAGTGTCTGGGAATTCAGAGCACAACCCATCCAGATTTACACACACTATGCTTGCCAGTCAAATCTACACCATCTGAGACCAAACTAGCACCTTCAGTGCCAAAAACACAGGCATCACCATGAGATGCTAAGGAGATGCTTCAGTCTCTACCGCTACCATGGTAGCAGATGCACCTTCCACAGGCCTCCACTAGAGGGCACTGGTACACGTTTGCACTAGTGAATATATTTTAGCAGTAATGCCATGACATTTTTCCTCTTGAATGGTCCAGGTTGCTGGGGAAGAAGTTAGTGATCCAGTTCAAATCCCAATGGCCTTGGCTGGGCTGGTGGGAACATGCACTATCATGCATCAGGGATTTTTTTTCCATGTGTGTGTTTACATTCATGCAGTGGGTGACCAGCCCAATGTCCTCACACACCCCAGGCACTCCATTTAGCCCCACAGAGAGCTGCTGTGGAGTGAGCCGTCCATATGGGAGTGCAGGCAATAGGATGTTGACTACTACAAGGTGTCCATGCCAGAACATGGCCTTTACCACTGGCAGGAGAGAGGGATCACTCACTGCACAGAGGCAGACGAGCAGTCACTCAGACATGGTAGATCTCCTCTTCCTTCTCCATGGGAAGGTTGACATGGCCCTGTAGCTGCCCTAGGGTGCTGTGCCTCAGGATGTCCCAGCCATGGCTGGAGCTCCTCCGGGACAGGCTTGGTGACACCGCTGGAGTGCTGCAAGGGGTCTTCTTCCTGTACGGAGCCTCTGTGTCTTTGTCGTCCTCCAGCTCCTGTTTGTTCTGGGAGTACTTGTCAAAGTCTTCTGTGATCTGGAACTTAAATGCTTCCATGTAGCGGTGCATCTTGTGCTGCCTGCCTTCACATCGGTCTTCCACTCTGTAGGCAGGATGAGAACAAAGACAATCAAGACCAGTGTGCTAGGAATACCTACATCTCACACTTTTCAGCCCCAAGCCAAAGAAGAAGCCCCACCAACTAGGCCTCTCCTACCAATGCAATGTCTCCCTCTTGCCAAAAGAACTAGACTACTGTATGTCAGAGACCTGAGCCACTGCAGTCAGGGGAAAAAATCAGGTGGGGAGTTGCTTGTACGCTCGTGTTACATGATGATCTCTCATCTAGCAGTGGGAACTGGCACAGAGAGGTAACTCTCCATGCTCCACCTCCCCTGCAGTAGCAGCCGCTGCAAGAGCAGAATGGAAAGCAAATTATTGCCTGACCTCCCTCCATCTGTTGCTTTTAGTACAAAATGCATAAGTCACCTGTGGAACTCATTTGCACAAGATCTCACTGAGGCAAAGACCACAGAAGGATTCAGGAAAGCATTCAGCATTTCTGTGTGTAATGAAAACAGCCACAGTTCCATTAGCAAGGATAAAATACTATGAGGGTTATAAAACCCTGCTGCTTTGGAGAACAAACCAAATTCCAGCAGGCTGGCTCAAGGAAGGACCTTCCCCTAAGGGCCAGCTATTTCATAATTACCCATGCTGGGGTTCCTTATGCCTCCAGGGTTCCTGTTACTGGGTTCTGTCAGAGACAGGATACTAGATTAGTGGGATCTGCACCGGTCTGGCAATTCCTGGGTCCTGCTGCCCAAAAGCAGAGCAGGCAGCAAGTGCGCTCCCCCTCTAGTCCCTCTGCCAACTTAGATACTGAGTCAGTGTGCGCCCACTGTCTCACCCAAGAAATAGCTTATTTACCTCGAAGGCAAGGCCCTGCCCACAAGCATTCTAAGGCAAGGAGCCATGGGTGCTAGGCTTTTGTATCTGTTCCTGGAGGGGAAGGAAGGTGGTGGCAATCCGAGCAGTGCAGAGTGCAGACATTGTTCTCCCTCCTACAAACCCAGGCGGAAGTGGGCAAATGGCATGGCCTGCAGCCTAGGGGCAGCTTTGGTTTTTACATTTCATAATGCAGTGCTAGTGCACTATGGCAGCTCTGCATTAGGGCTGGAGGGCAAGGGATCAGTTAGTGTCTGCCTATATTTTGCTAGGAGCATCTCTTTTTCCTAGCCCATTAACACTCTGCCTGATGCAGGGTCACAGAGAGCCTGTCTGTCCCTTCACACAGACATCTCTAGTGTTCAGGAATCTCAGGAAGGAAAGGAGCGACTGCAGCTCCTTGAATCCCGTGCCATGAGCCCTGTTGAGCTGCAGAAAAGGCTCTGGGGCATGGAGGGAGATGAAGAGAAGTATCAAGGAGTCTAGCAATAACTGAGGGATGGGTATGGAATTAACCTCACTGTTCGGCTTTTAGTTATGCTGGAGTTATTGATTTGATTAGCAGCCTGGAGTGACTGGATTAGCAGAAACAACAAGAGTCCGGTGGCACCTTAAAGACTAACAGATTTATTTGGGTATAAGCTTTAGTGGGTAAAAAAACACTTCTTCAGCTTACGCCCAAATAAATCTGTTAGTTTTTAAGGTGCCACCGGATTCCTTGTTGTTTTTGTGGATACAGACTAACATGGCTACCTCCTGATACTTGGATTAGCAAAGTGATTGGACTGGCTGCTGCTGAGTTGTAACTCAAGCTGTTGCATCCTCACTGCATCACTAGCTTGAGATCACTCAACCTTCAACCCAGCCCACCTGACAAACCAGTTAGCTCAAGCTTAAAGCACCCCCTAACTTGAGCTAGAGATTTTTGTGTATGGACAGGAGTGAAGTTAAGGGTAACAAGTAGGGCTGTCAAGCGATTAAAAAAATTAATCATGATTAATTGCACTGTTAAGAATAGAATACCATTTAAATATTTTTGGATGTTTTCTATATTTTCAAATATATTGATTTCAATTACAACACAGAATACAAAGTGTACACTGCTCACTTTATATTTATTTTTGACTACAAGTATTTGCTCTGTAAATAAAACAAAAGAAATTGTATTTTTCAATTCACCTAATACAAGTAGTGTAGTGAAATCTCGTTATCATTAAAGTTGAACTGACAAGCGTAGAATTATGTAAAAAAAAACTGCATTGAAAAATAAAACAATGTAAAGTTTTAGAGCCCGCAAGTCCACTCAGTCCTACTTCTTGTTCAGCCAATCACTCAGTTTGTTTACATTTGCAGGAGATAATGCTGCCCGTTTCTTGTTTACAGTGTCACCTGAAAGTGAGAACAGGCATTCTCATGGCACTGTTGTAGCCGGTGTCGCAAGACATTCAAGTGCCAGATGCACTAAAGATTCATATGTCCCTTCATGCTTCAACCATTATTCCAGAGGACATGCATCCATGCTGATGAGGGGTTCTGCTCGATAACTATCCAAAGCAGTGCAGACCAACTCATGTTCATTTTCATTATTTGAGTCAGATGCCACCAGCAGAAGGTTGATTTTCTTTTTTGGTGGTGTGGATTCTGTAGTTTCCGCATTGGAGTGTTACTCTTTTAAGACTTCTGAAAGCATGCTCCACACCTCATCCCTCTCAGATTTTGGAAGGCACTTCAGATTCTTAAACCTTGGGTCAAGTGCTGTAGCTACCTTTAGAATCTCACATTGGCACCTTCTTTGCGTTTTGTCAAATCTGCAGTGAAACTGTTCTTAAAATGAACAACATGTGCTGGGTCATCATCTGAAACTACTATAACATGAAATATATGGGAGAATGTATGTAAAATAGAGCATATCCCCCAAGGAGTTCAGTCACAAATTTAATTAACACATAATTTTTTTAATGCGTGACATCAGCATGGAAGCATGTCCTCTGGAATGGTGGCCGAAGCATGAAGGGACATACAAATGTTTAGCATATCTGGCATGTAAATACCTACAAAAGTGCTATACAAATGCCTGTTCTCACTTTCTGGTGACATAGTAAATAAGAAGAGGGCAGCATTATCTCCTGGAAAAGTAAACAAACTCGTTTGTCTTAGCGAGGCTGAACAAGAAATAGGACCGAGTGGCCTTGTAGGCTCTGAAGTTTTACATTGTTTTGTTTTTGAGTGCAGTTATGTAACAAAAAAAAAATCTACATTTGTAAATTGCACTTTCACAGCAAAGATTGCACTAAATTACTTGTATGAGGTTAATTGAAAAATATTATTTATCATTTTTACAGTGCAAATATTTATAATAAAAAATAATATACACTTTTATTTCAATTACGACACAGAATTTATATGAAAATGTAGAAAAACATCCAAAATATTTTATACATTTCAATTGGTAGTCTATTGTTTAACAGTGCGATTAAAACTGCGATTAATCGTGATTAATTTTTTTGTTAGTCGCGTGAGTTAACTGCGATTAATTGACAGCCCTAGTAACAACAGTTATAACTCAGGCTAACTGTGATGTGAAGACACACCCTTAGTCTCTGTCAGTGCCATCATTATCTACTGTATAGACAGTTATGGGATCTCAATAGGATTAAATGCTCCACAAAGTTATCCTTGTGCACACAAATGGAGCTAAACTTATAGCTAGGTTTTGGGTGTGGAAGGAACTGGCCCTTCCCTGGTAGGGGAATACCAACAGGGCCCTTGAGGGAAGGGAGCACTGAGTCATGCACACAGATGTGTACAGTAGATATCCGGCATGGCCAATTTCTCTTGATCGTAGAGCACTCTAGGAACTGGCGGACTGTCATAGACAGCCCAGCAGAGTAACACCTACAGTCATGCAGCATAATCCTTCATGTTCCAGCCCAGCACCTGCCCCAAGATTTTACACTACGCTCCAGTACTCAGGGGGTCACAGTGCTCCGAGCATGAAGCTGTTCTGCTTCAGTGTTGCTTTAATTGCTGCATGGAGCTGATGTGAAATCTCTGTGCCCATTGCTGCAGGCCAGGCCCCTGCGGGTCTTGGACAGTAGGGAGAAATTACTCCCCGTTGTGCTCTGCTGCATGAAGTGCAGAGAGGAGGGTGCTAGACTTAAGTGTATTCGAAAAGCCCAGTGGCTCAGTCATTGCACATCTCTTTTCTAGCCGTTGCTAATGCTGGATCCTATCCCAAAGAGCTCCTGATTGAGCTATACAATATTATGAGGGGGGATTTCTTCTGGACTTTCCCAACTGATGATCAGCTTATTCCTTGAAGAAATGAAGATGGATGCCCAGTGTAAGCCTTTCCCTAACTAATCTAACTACAGATACTGCTCCTATACTGGCAGCCACTATAGTTTGCTGGCACTTGTGTAGTGCAGTTTGAAGTGAGCCCAATGTTAGCAACTGGAACCCCCTTGCTATTCAGCTTCATAGAGCAGGTCTATTCTGAAAGTGACTCTATGGCATCATGGGCCTCAGAGACTCCTGATCAAATGCACTCAGTTTACAAGTAAAGGGTCATTTGTTTCTGATGGTCTCTCTCTGCCTAGAATTTAATGGCCAGATTTTTCAAGGTATTTAGGTGCTTAAAGATGCAGGAATGACCTAATGAGATTTTCAAGTGCATCATTTTCAGTATTAGCCACCTAGGCTCGTTTGAAAATCCCACTAGGCCACTACCTGCATCTTTAGGCACCTAAATACATTGAAAAGTCTGGCCCCAAGAGTCAAGATGGGCTCTTTCCATCTCACACACATCATCACCTGAAATAAAGGCTCTGCAGGTCACATTAAGCTCTCAGTTCTACCTAGGCAGCCCACCTGTCTTCACGCTATATCTCTGGTGTCATCTGTGCAACCCTATTGTAATCAGTAGGTTTGCACAAGTGTAACAGATTGACACTTAATGAACAATTCTGTTAACGCTGCACAAGAAGGAATAGATTCCAATTCCCGCTCTCTGAACTGTGTTGGCTCTGCAGACAACCAGGAGTAAAAATCAATGAAAACTTATTTTAGCCATAAATCAGCAAATCTAAATAGATACCAGAGTCAAATATGCTGAGAGATAAAAAGCCATTTTACATAGCTACTTTTCTGAGCAGAACCTTCACTTTAATGCTGTCTTATCAAAAGAACCTTAATTATAATGGGTGCATAATAGCTTCTGCAATAATGGAAGTTGCAAAACAGTTTCCATTATAACCCGCTGTTTTCACATGCTCATAACTTTCCAAAACGATTCACCTTCAGGGCTGCTGTAATTTTCCAAGCTTAGACTCTGTGTGATGGGATTTTGTTGTTTTGTTTTGTTTTTGTTTTGGAAAGTTAGAACAAAATTCCTTCAGCTGTTTTCAAGTTCAGCCAGGATGAAAAAAAAAAATTGCTTCCCTTCCTCCCTTCTTTAAAAAAGCCAAGTACACGATTTTCTTTGGAGAGAACTGCAGCAAAAATAGCAGTGGTTTGAAACTTGGCCTGGATGAAGTCTGCACTGAGAACTAGTGTCTTTACTTGTTTGGAGAAATATTAATTTTAATTAACAAAAGATTATGACTGTTTCCAAACTGTATCCAACGCCCAGTAGAAACTGTATCAAACCCGCCCAGTGTTTACTTGGTTAGAGAACTACATATTTTTAATTAACAAAAAGTAAAGACTGTTTGAAAATTGTATCAGACACACCCACTAGAAAATCAGGTGCCAGTTTAGATATGCACAGTGGGCAACTTCTTAACTGTGTACATGTGGAAACTTGCACATTTAAGATGTTTCTCATTTGAACTGCTGAACTCTCTTCCCAGAGAGATCTAAACATTAAGTTAACATTGAAGACATTTGTTTTGGTAGTTTTTAAGCTTCAGAAGGTGTCAGGGAACCCTGAGTCCACCCTCCCTCCCCCTCACTCATAGTACACACTGGTACATGCATGGGTGTAGAAATGCATAATTAGCTTTCGGTATTACAGAGGACAATGAGCTACTTTCCTCGTGGAAGGGATGGGATCTGGGGAGGGACATTTACGGCTGCATATCTGGAAGCACTGCCTAACAGTGAGGGTCTGTTGAGCTCTGACTATGCTGGGAGTTTTTATTACTTGAGTCATTTATAAGCTGGACTGCACAACAATGGAAGGTAGACTGCATTGGGTAGGTGGGAGCTGGACTAGGTGTGAGCCCATAGCCTTTTCCATCTCCGATTCCTATAATTCTCCCATGGGTCTTGCCCATCCTCAGGTTGCAGAGCCCAGGCCATTGCCACCTGAAATGGCTCCCATTCACAGGAGGCTACACTGTCAGAACAGGGTGGATTAACACCACCTTCCTCTCTGACAGGTTTGCACAATAGAATCCACTATGTTTAGTCAACATGTGGGCAATCCCCATAGAACTCACCTGAGGTACCAGCGGTCCCCCAAGCCATATTCCTGCCCACAGATCCCAGAGCGAGGCCAGAGGCATTGTGGGAGTTTCCGCTCCAGCATGACAGTAGTGGCAACAACCTTCAAAACAACAAAAAAGGTGTTGGCAAGACAACAAGGAGTGCAGAGATAGGGGAAGTGGGTAGAACAAGCAGCAGGAAATCATGGGGGCATAGATGGAGTCTATACTTCTCATAGACACATATGAGTGAAATACCTAGACACATGCCTACACAATGGGCCCCATTTCAGCCCTCCTCTGCCCTGGGCTGAAATAAATTCCTGTTCCATATTTTTTCATTCATGGATCTCCTCCTCCAAAAACACACATGCCTTCTACTGCCAAGAACTCAACCCACCCCACACTGGAAGAATCCACAAGTCTCCTCAGGTAAGAAAGGAATTCAGGCTCTAAGGTCATCACTCATGGGCTACACACATACCCTAATGGGAGCCCCTGACCCTGCCCTGTCCTAGGCTCAAAGTGAGTCTATGCATTAAAGTCCGTTCACATGTGGCTCAGCAGCACCCTCACCTGTGCTCTCCAAAGCTCGTCCCGCTCGTGGGCCACGCGCCAGTGGGTATCACCCATCATGGCGATGAGCAAGTTGAGCATGAGGAGGGTGGCGATGACGGCGAAGGCGGAGTAGGTGATGCTGTACATGAAGGGCAGGTCCACTTCATAGTTGGCGGGCCCATCGATGATGGTGAGGAAGAGCTCGAAGGTGCTGAACAGAGCTATGGGGTAGTTATAGAAGTGGCCCAGTTCATCAGGGTTTTCAGTCTGGAAGATGACGTAAAAAGCTGGCATAGAGAGGAAAGGAGGAAAAATGAATGAGGAAGCCTCTGTGCTTTCTCTGCTCTGCCCTGCACCATCCTACCATCTGCCTGAAACAACAGTATAGTGTTAGACTTTAGCCCAGGGCAGCCATGCATCCCAGCTGCAGTCAGACAGCCCCAGTTTCCAGGGAGGCTTTCCTGTGTCACAGAGCTCATAGGACACTTAAGAGTCCTGAGTGCTATTTGAAACTCATGTTATTTAATCATAACAGGACAACATTATGTCCTCACTTCACTTGGTATCCAGAGCCCTCATCATGACACCAGTATGGCATAAAAAAATCATAGCAGCATCAGACTGAGATTATTTTGTGCCAAAGGGCAACCTCGCCTTGCATTGATCACACAACACTGTGAATTCTAGAAGGAGAGTGAATAACTAAGTACCGCCCCCCCACCCCATTCCCTCTGGAGTAGAGAGGTGGGTTCCTCCTCTCTACGGAATATTGACATTTCTTCAGAACTGGGTCAAGTCCCACCAGCCCATAACATTTCCCCGTGTCCAGGTTGCTGAGATCTCCCAAATAGCCTGTCCTCTTTGGGGCTGAATCAATAACTTCATAGGCAAATGTGTCAGTTCGTGAATGAGAAGAGAGACTGGCAGAGGGGTGGGGCAATTTCGTAGGAAGGAATCTGAGATATGGGGAGGAAAAGGCAGAAGGAGGAGAAGGTATGGATTGTGAATAGCAAGGAGCAGGGAGAAAGGGAAGGGAGGAAATGAACAGGCAAGTCAAATCCCAGCAGCATGGGCAGGCCTGGGAGCTTTGAGTTGTATTCTAATATAAGCTATGAAGGAGCTGGAGGACTGAGTGCCCTCTTTCCAGACAACTGTTCCATAAAACCCAATATTCTGTGGATGGATGTGCAAGACATGGTGCCCCTCAGGGTGTCCATTGAGACCCTGCTATCTTTTAACTGGGCTTGTAGCTGTGTATCGCATCATACCTACCTGATGCAAAGCCAAGTATCACCACTGCCATGAGCCAGCAGAAGCGCATGAGATCTCCAAATATCATCTGCAGATGAAACAAAACCAACTGCCATGAGACCCCACTCTCTCACAAATACAGCCCTGAAACTGAGGCTTTGTTGTCTAACTGGTCCATGTATCCTGGTCTCTCACTTCCCACCATAGCGGATCCAGTCTTGTATCTCATGTCATATTGGATCGGACCACTGGTCCTTCTAGTCAGGAGACAGCATGGTTGAGTAGCCAAAGCAGGGCACTGGAAGTCAGCAGACCTAATTTCTAATCCAAAGGAGTTACTGTGTGAGCTGGGGAAATTTATTTAACCTCTCTTGCCTCAGTTTCTCCAGATATGTAATATACTAATGATACATACTCACTTTGTGAAAGTACTCTGAGCTCTATGGATGGGAGTGCTAGCTAAATGTTTTAGTAGCACTAATAGTTTAGTATCCTGGCTGCAGAATGGCTCATACTTGATGTTTCAGAGGGAAGTCAGAACACCTCCATAATACACTTGGTCCACCATAAGACACTGAAAATAGGGATTTCTTCTTGGTCAGCTGAAGCACAGAGACTGATAGCCATGCCTACGGTAGTATCACTGCAGCTGGGTAATCTTATCCAGACAAATTTGTCTGGATAAGATTACCTAGTTGCAGTGATACTACTGTAGGCTTGGCTATCAGTCCAATTATATATATATATAACTAAATTGCTTGCCTCAATATTTTTTCCAGCAGTGTCATCCATTGAACTAGAGGACCCTACAGTCTGTTCCACCAGTATGACTGAGATGAAAGACTGATCTGAACCGACTAATGTTCTGAGCCAGTTTAGTGACTTCTTTGTCTCTACTGTCCACTGTACCCTTCACAGTCCCGCATGTGGCCCATCTCAGTACATAAAAGAAGAACCTCACTTAAAACAGCCTGCTAGATAAAGGTCAAAAGGGTTCTTGTCTGGCTCCAGGACCTCGAATCCCACACCAGAAACTCCTGGGAAAGTGTTTCTATTCTGATGGAAGGACCAAGATATGACCGTGGGCACATGCTGATGCATGGCATGGCTGGATAACTGCTGCTCAGGATCCATCTTTGCTGATATCTTTATTACAGTCTCTCTCCCTCTTTCAGTCAGGCAGTGGGCTGTGTTGTCCTTACCTTCTGTATCATGATGGTGAAGGGTCCCAGCATCTGAAAGCCTCGTGCGAAGTACATGACGTTGCACCAGCCCAGCACCAGGGCAAAGGACATGGGGACCACCTCTCCAGTGGTGCTGGTGAGTCGCATCACCATGGTCACCAAGATCATACAGGCATAGGTGATGCTATAGCATATAAGACAGAGCCAGGAAGATCAGAATCACATTCCCAGTCCACACTCTCACCTCCAAACACTCAAGTCTCTCCCAACAACTAACTCTCCATAATCCTCCCAACCCCCACCCACACCAGAAAGCAATCTGTATGAAATAAGGAGAGGGGGAACCTCACATGATGATGTGGAAAGGTCCTCCTAGAATAGTTTGTCCAAAGTACTTGGTGACTCCAACTCTGAAGATATCTGGAATCTAAGATACACTCTGTTCAAATTGGGGCTCAATCAGTTCACACATGCACAGAACATTAAATTATATTGATTTCTCTTACCTCAAGGATCAATATTACTATGGCTCCTATCACTGTGATCAGCTCCCCTACCAGCCTCAGATTGTCCTCAGGAGTCGCATAAGATTCCTGAAAGGAGAGAAGGAGGTCCCCCTCAGTCCAACCGTGCATGGCCAGAAGAGGACTCTTATGCCCCATCTAGGCTTGAGCAAAAAAGTATTCTCCTTGCAGGATTGCTCATGCCATAGTCTCCAGAAGAGGCAGTTAGTCTAGAAGATCAAGCATGACAGCAGGAATCAGGAAACAAGCTCTGACACTGGATGACTGCAGTGTCACCTGGGCCAACAAGGCCTCCTCTTTTGGGTGCCTTAGTTTTTGGGTGCCCGATTGAAGACACCTTGGGACTGATGTTGAGAGCTACTGAGCACCTGCAGCACTCACTGAGTTCTGCTGGAGTTGGGGGTGCCCAGCGCTCCTGAAGAATTGGCCCTGGGAAACAAGTGAGTCTCTTTAACTGAGCTCCAGCCCACATCTGTCCACTTACCCTCTCCTCCCCCACTCTGTCCCATTTACTCCCCTTCCCTTTCCATGTAGCTAACTCCCTCCATGTAGCTAACTCCATCCCCGCATCCCAAACAGTGGACCAACACACTGTTTGCCATCATCACCTATTTCACTCTGCGTGTGGGTTATACCCTTTTCCCCACCCTGCATTTGTCTGGTCTCTTCAGGCTGCAAGCTCTTTGGGTACATTGTCCAGCACAATGGGGGCCCCACTCTTGGCTGGCCCTTAGGCACTACCACCAGAAACAGGATGCACTATTATAACAAGGAGGATGCTGTAGGAGATGCTCTCCCCTTTGAGTCAGTACTGAGCCCAACTTCCCAGCATGCTGCTCGGGGGTGCTGTGCTGCAGGGAGCAGATGGCTGCAGGTATTCCTTTGCCTACATAGCCTGTAAAGTGCTTGGGGACTTTTAGGCTAAAAAGCTGGGAAGATTTGTGGGATATTAATGGTGTACACAATGTACCTGCAGCAGTTTCTGGATGTAGATGGTGTTGTCCCTTTCATGTGTTTTGTTGCTCTGTCGACGTTTTAGAGGTCGATAGACACAGCACATGGTGAAGCAAATCATGTACAGCACGTAGAATAAGGCCAGGATGCAGAAATAGGGACGCCCATATTTATTCCACTTCAGGCTCACCAGCTCATTCACAGGGGTCAGGTCCAGGATCCGACGGGCCTGAGAGACAGACACCAGACTTCATTCATTGTGGGGCACGTCTCTGCTCCCAAAAAGCAAACTGGCAAATCACCCCAAGCTTATGAAAACAATCATAGTACGTTAAATCAAATCTGACTGGGACCCTTGTCTGTCCCCTTTTGTCTGCCAAACACAGAGCAATGACTCAAAGGACCTGAGCAGAGACAGGCTGCAGAAACAGGTCAGAATTTGTCCCACTATCCCACCTGGTCCATTAATGCCACTACACCCATCCAAAGACCTGGTGCATTCACTCTGGAAACACCTGGATACCTTGCCATGCTAATAGCAAAGAAGAGAGCAAGATAGGAGGAGAAGAGAGGAGACAAAGACCACAGTCCTGTTAGAAATGACGGGCTCTTCTTATGACAGGTTGATGCCCAAATGGAAATACTGTAATATCCTACAGTCATAGTTCCATACCCTGCAGTGTCTCTATAGAAAGCTGTAATGCTGCAGACCATTACTCTAGAATATTGTAATAATTTCTTGTTATAAGAGAGGTTACAGATCAAGAACTTGACTTGCCAATAGATTCCAATGGGCGCCCCTTCCTAGTCTCTGCACTCTGGGTCTCCTGGAACCTGAATGGAGTCCAGCCATTGCCCCAATTTCAGGGTCCCTAGGCACACTCACAGGGCGCAGAACTTCTATCTGGCACCCTCCTCATAGCTGTTCTGGGTCCAGAGCTGACTCGCAGTACTTCCCACTTTGCAGTACTCAAACACCACCCTCTCCCTGGACTCTACCCACCAGGTGTGAACATCTGGTTTACAGTTTAACTCCCTCGGGGGCATGCAGTAATTGCGAAGCAGACAACAAACGCACACATGCACACTTTGTTCAATCTACTAAATTGATGCTCTTTACTTAATAGATGAAGCACAGGAGAGTACAGATCATACCACACAATAAAACATCCTAAACACAATGCCCCTCCCTAGCTCACCCGCCCTTTGGGAGTCCCTGAAGGATAGTCTGTGTTCTGGCAGGCAGGCGGGCAGGGTCCTCCAGACCCTTGTGTGTCCTACCCTTGCAGCAGCTTCCCTAATCTTACTTTGCTGCAAAATGGCTCTCTCTTCCCCTGTTCCTCCCTGTGGTGTCCCTTTATACACTCCTGCTGGGGTCACCTGCTTCTTTTGTTCTGCCTTCTGGTAATCTCCCAAACAGGAGGAGGAAGCCACCTCTCTCAGGGAGTGCAAACCTATTGTCCCAAGGTGTTTGGAGTGCTGATCATTCACCATTGAGTCTGGCCTGGCAGAGAGACATGCCACAACCCTGCTAGCTGTTGGGGGATCCACATGCATATAGGCTTTTTTCCATGACACAGTAATTTCAAAATACTATTTCATAAAGTCATCCACAACTCAGAAGTGATACAAACAGACCCCCCCAGTTTGTCACACCCACATACCTCTCTTTTCTTGGTGGTGACAATGAGTTCCAAGAGAGATTGGTCATCTCCCCACGAGTCGATCTCTGTGAGGTCATACAGGGTGGAGACCAGGGGGCCGAAGGTCCATTGGATGTGCTTTCTGTTCTGCATAAGGTGCTGGAACATCTAATTGGCAAGAAGGGCAGAGCTGAGCTCATGGGAGGCTGTACGTATTTGCCCAAACCACCAAGCACCATCAGCACCAGTATCCCAGGACATTGAAATCACCTGCACCCCTGCTTCAAACTCAGCTCTGAAAACACTTGTCTACAGAAGCCTTGTAGTCAGGGGGATTGGACTGTGATCTTATTAATTCTCAAGCCAAGCAAATTTGGGTTGGGTCAGAACTCGGATGGAAGACCTATGTGCTATAGGTATTACTGGTTCAGTAGGGAGTGCTCTCCTTTCTAAGTTAGTACTGACCCAAAGCCCCAGCACAGAGTTAAATGCCATGGTGCAGGTGACTCAGTAGGTGATGTTTCCTTTTCTATGTCACTGCCTCAGCCTGGTACTATGGTGCTGGTGAGGCAGGAGGTGGTGCTCTTCTCTCTGAATCAGCACTGAATCAATCCTCCAGCATTTTCCCGTGGACTGTCAGTGGAAAATGTTATACCTCTCCTCCAGTGATTCTCCTGTAGTGCTTCTGACACAGAGCAGTTGCTGTATGCCCCCAAGAGGCAGCTGCACTTTGGTGGGTGAGTGATCCCTACTAGTGATATCTGGAAAGTGCTTTGGGATCCTTCAGACAGACACATGCCTCAGCGACATCAGAAACTATGAAAGCCAAGTGTTGCACACAAACTCACCACAGTGTTGCCCTCAACCCCAGTTAGCTTGAATGGAGTGAGCCCCTCGTTGTTAGGGATTAAGTCCAGGGCTCCCAGCTCCCTTTCGCTCTTGTCATAGGAGAGAAGGAAGTTGTACATCTGGCAGGCAAAGATCTTGTTGGGTTGGAGAACTAGGATGTGGAGAACAGTGTTCCCTTTAGTGGAAAGAGAGACAGAGGGATGAGATAACTGGTAAAATGGGAAACACAAATCACCTCCCAATCTTGACAGACTCTCAGACAGTCAATATACAGACCTTGCTCAGCCTCTGTACAAGAGGACTTGCCATTAATATTCTGTGTGGCTCTGCACAGTATGAACAGCCCCACTTGACAATTAAGGAAAAGCAGCCCCCATCTAAAGTGCTTCAATCCACAGAAAACTGAATAATAAAAGGCAGTTGGTATCGTATTGTATCTAGGCAAAAGTCTATTTAAGGTTCCAGTATAGGACTAGTCATCCTGGAACAGACCATTGCTCCAGCTAGCCAGCTCTGATATTACCACCTCACAAACTGGGATGTTTTTCCCTGGGTTTCAAGTTAGCATCTTTCATAATTTTGAAACACTAGTTCTGGCCATCTCATTTCCTATGTAAATCTTGCCTGTGATGTGTCTCACTGCAGAGGAGAGACAGGACTAAGCTGTAATGAACACAAAGGGGATTCTTTAATGAGACTGATGCAAACAGATGGACCCTTTGTCTCTGTCTCTCTTTCTGGCTCTCAGACAGTCTTTGCAGCCTATTGTCACCACACAGGGTCTCCCTAAGGCCTGGACTATGCTCTTATGGGAGGGACCTCTTGCTGCTGAGTACATTACACCACCACATTGCTATGTCCCTTTGTTGCCCTTCACTGGACCTTCTCAGTCTCACCAGCATCTTTCTTAAAGTGAGGTAACCAACTTCAGACACAGTCCCGCAAAGTTACCATCATTTGGTACCACACCATTCACACAGCACCTTGAAAGAGGCCACTGAAAAGCTCTTACCCAAGGTGTCTTGTGCTCTGATGTTGGCTCCATGTTTGATGAGCAGCTGGACGATCTCCTCACTTCCTACACAGGCTGCGAAGGATAAGATATGCTCCCCTGAAGAGAAAGGAATGGAGACAAGGGAATACATAATATGGAGTTAAAGAGAGGAAATGAAAAGAGAGGCAAAAAACCCAGACCACTAAACACATCTCTCTCTCTCTCTCTCTCACAACACAACACACACACACACACACACACACACACACACACAACTAA